ACAGCGGTTACCGGAAGGGCGTCAAGTTATGTATTAACGTAAGATCGATACTCATCTCTTACGCCTCTTCAGCTCGACAACGACGTATTAACGACGGTAAAAACAAATCTAAACAGTTTATAATAAAAAAACGTATAAAATTTAAGATGTTGAAAAAAAGTAATAAGAGCAGGTAAGAAAAAAAAGTGATCATTATATACCTTTTTTTTATCGACACGTTAAAAAAAAAACCAGATAAACACAGATCAAAATATAGATAAACGCGCTACAAAATAGGTAATCATTAAAAAAAAAACAGATGAACACGGTACAAATTAGGCAATCACCACAAAAATTTTCCCAGGCATTATCCGTCAATCAATTTGTACGACGATTAAAAAAACTGTAATCTAATTGGTTAATATTCGCGTATCACTTTTAGTAACGAAATACCCCCTACTGTGGGAATATTGTAGGAATATTGTGGGAATATTTTGGAAATACTGTGGGAATAATATGGAAACACCGTGGGAATAGTTGTGGGAATAGTTGTGAAAATAGCTGTGGGGCTTGATCCTTATAAAAAAATTGCGTTTGGTTATTATCATTAGAGATTCTGCGGTCGAAACTACTAGTGTCTACTGGAGTATACGTAAATCAAAATATATAAAATATATGTCTGCTAACAAAAATTTAAACATCAATAAAGATATTTAACGATACTTTATTAAATATATTAAAGATGTTCTTTATATCTAAAGCGTCAAGTTACTAATCATCCAGAGCGTTCATAGGTTTGATTGGTTGGTGCCAATCAATTGCCTGGGTAACTTATTTATATGTTTTAAAGTACTCTTTTAGAGTACAACGTTTCACTAATAAAAAAAATTGTATAAAAAACATTTCGTATCTATTTTATAATAAATATAAATGATATATAGATATAGATATATATTTACTATTGAATCCGGATCCCAATATCTGTGAGTATGCTCCTACTTACGTCAGGAATAGTGACAATTGCTGATTTATTCACAGCGGATGTTAGGTCATAACGGTGACCAAGAGCCACCATTATATCTCAGCATAACACTAAGTTTATATTTGCCAGAATTAAACATTTAAAAATGAAATGTAGTAAAATAACTTACTATAAAAAATGGAAATATTTTGTCTTTTGAAGTAAGTATATATATATATATCAAATTTATAGATTATTTTATACGGTGAATGGTGGTGCTTTTCTAAAGCTATTAATAGTATTTGCGATGAATTTTTGTTGGTGAAACGTTGTTTTAAAAAGTATTGGTATTTTAAAATCACCAAACAATCAGGCAGACTTCTGCCTATGAAGAGTGATGATATGAGTGATGATATATTTACTGGTGATAATATATACATAATTTCTGTATACAGTATATAAAGTCAATTCTATAAATCGAATCAAATGAATTTTTTAAGTTTTGTTAAAAGATCAATTTAAACATATATTTTTTTTAATTAAACATTTTCTTAAATAAGCCAAAGGGTTCGTTTAGAGTATGTGACAGTATTTTTATTTAAAACAAATCTTAAATTTTAACATAATTTAAAAAAATGAATAAAAATTTTTTGAATAAAATTTACGAATAAAATTTGCGAATAAAATTTACGAATAAAATTTACGAATAAAATTTACGAATAAAATGTACGAATAAAATGTACGAATAAAATGTACGAATAAAATGTACGAATAAAATGTGTATGAATAAAATTGCTAGCTATCTAATTCACTCGAAACGACTTTTAAAAGTTAAAATATTAAATAATCATACAAGTAATATAACCTAATATAGCCTATACATACATAAATGCTATTTATGGAATATGTGTATATACATATATATACATAAATTAATCTTAGTATTTTTGCCTTATTTATCATTTTGCATAATTGCTATAGCTATAGTTATTATTTTTTTTTAATTCTTCCGATAGACCCTTAACAATAAAATTTTAATTTTATCTGTTGTTTAGATCACAGATTTTCTCAACCATTGACTGGCTTTATCAATTCCAGCCTCATTAACAAAGAATTTCTTATTCAATAAAGTAATAAATTTTAAAGATTTCATAGAATGTCTAACTAAAGTTCTAAGATGATCATCATTAATAAAATCACAAATTCTTATAACCAATTTTTTCAATGGAACCGCCTTTTCTCTTTTGTCAAAAGATGTACAACAATTTTTTAAAAATTGTTTTAAACTATTAGGACCAAATCTCCATCTAGCTGAAATATTTAATTCTATCAAAGTACTAGGTAAAAATTTTCCAATCTCTGGCAAAATATCGTTGACATCAAAATATCTTCCATTACCATAAATGTATAAAGTTTTTAATTTTTTGCAATTATTTAAAATTCCAAATAATTCTCCAATTTCATTTAATCCGATCATGGCTCCAAGTCGTACGAGATTGGGACAATTCATCGAGATAGAATTTAATACTTGTGCATAACCTTCTTGTCTGCAATCTTCAGGCCAACCAAAAAATATTTCTTCAAGCTTTTGGTGACTGGCTAAAATTAATGATTCTAAAGTTTCTGCTGGTACTGGATCTTCTTTAAATGTTATGGACCTAAGATTAGTAAGTGGTGCTAATCTAAGTGGGTCCAAAACATTAGGTATCAAACTTTCTGAATCAATAAATTCTAATCTTTCTAAATTTTGACAAATTGGTAACCAATCTAATGGGCATGATCTATCAAACACTATATCACAAAATTTTATGTGACGTAATGTCTTTTTCTGACGTAAAAGCGCGATGCCTAAAGATTGAGGATAATGACATTCGCGTAAAATGAAATGTTTTAATTCGAATTGAGATTCAATAAAACGAGCGGAGAATACGGCACTGGTGTCATAATGATCATCGTCTTCTCTATATTCGAATTCAGGTAGTCTGACATCAATCTGTGAACATTCACATTAAAATAATGAATAAAAATGAAAAGCATAAAGATTAATATAAATGATTAATTTATTTTAAATAGTTTTTAAATAGCTTTTAAATAGCTAGCAGACATAAGAATAATATAAACACCTTTTTAAGATGTCGACAAATTTGCATTAATATTGGAAAATCTTGGTCACAAGCAAAATCACCAGCCAATTCAATTTCTTTAACTGATCCTACCCATCTACGAACATTTGGTTCGCGTAAAGTAGAAATATGATAATTTAATTTAAGATCAAAATAATTTAATCCATTCTTGATATCATCATCCATATCCATAACGAATAAAAGGGAATCAAGTCCAGGCGAATATTTAGCAAATAGACGAAACAAAACATGTATGATTTTTTGCATTATAGGATTATTATCGGATGTATTTAGATTATTAATAACACACCATTCTTGAACCGAAGCTGTTAAAGGGTAATATGCAAGATGTCTCAAGAATGAAGGGTAATTAAAAGTTGGCGAAGAGTAACTTTTAGAAGTGATGAAAGAGAATGAAGAAGAAAGAGAGTAAGTTTGAGGAAAAGTAAGTAAATCAAGATTATGTCTTTCATCAGGACTTAAGCAGGATAAGTAAGTTGAAATTAGATGATGAGAAGAATCAAGACTTCTGCTAAGTAAAAGATGAAAAGGTTTATTCCATAATATTTGAATAGCATTAGCGCACCAAGTGCGATTAACTAAAACACATGAACGTAAATTATCTGGGTCATTCTCGAAATGTTTAAAAATTTCATAAAGAATCTCAGATGGAGGAGGTCGTAACATCAACAAATAATCTTGATAACTATTTTTCAAGAAATTTTTTTTTGACTCGCGAGACAAAGGAACAAGACGACGATTTAGCACGGCTTTAAAAATTTTTCATAAGGATGACAATCATGGTCAAACAACATGTGTTATAATACTACTTTAGGGATACGATTATAGAACCATGTGGACATACACCAAGTATTACGTTGCAAGTATTATGTTGCAACTAACTAGATATACATGTACGTACGGACATTCACACTTAATATCGGTATAAAAGAGCCGCTTTAGTTAATAAATCAATGTGATAAAAGCGGATATAGTTTGGTGATGCATTAGTGACAAATCTAGCATAATATAAACGAATCTAAAAAACCATGGGGCAATGCTGTACATCAGATCCCTGGATAGTTTTATATAATTTATAGCTAGATTTTGAATTTATTTGGAAATTTCAGCCATTAAAAAAAATTTTATCTCAAAAGATGTCTATTGATGATTGGATCTGTTAAATATGCGGTGTACATGCAATGAAAAGAAAGGATTAAAAATAAATGCCTTTTCTTTCCATCTTATATTTGATTGCAATTGTTTATAAATGCCATGGTATTTTACTCAGCCTAGATAAACCGACTTTACCGTTTCGTTAATCGGTAACGGTTGATTAACTGTTACGGTGGATATTTCATAACGAAATGTAAAGATTCAATTTCATTTGCCTGAGATTTTAACTTTCAACATTTGATTGTCGTTAAATGCTTTAGAAGTAAGGATCCTTTATGAGAAGATTCGTGAAAATAATTTTTTTTTTAGTTTCTTTGTTGTAATCTTTTTTTTTTTTTTTCACCTGCCCCATTTTAGATGTTAATATATTGCAATTTATGTATCAATATTGCAATCGTGTATCGTACATACCATACCATACCATATACTTATGAATGGTATTCATGGAGGATGGATCGTATAACTATATAACACCCAGATAAAAAACACCAGATAAGAAAGTTTTCCGTATTGTTCAAATATTTCGGAAATCGCCGGTTACTTGACACCATGAAGTTTTTGGCAACGTGATGTCTCCTTTACGGATTCGATTCGTATATGCAAGGATCGTTATGATGCGCGAAAGTTTATCTTATCGCTGATCAAATAATTATATCTCCAAGAAAGGAAATTCGTCACGATTTATCACTCTGTCAAAATTGTCAATCTTTACTATGCACGCGTACCAAATTAGTTCTAACTTGTTTGAATTCTTGTTTGAGAAAGTGAGCTTAAACTTTAAGATGGTGCCATTGTTCTTTTCTTTTTCAAATTCCGTTATGATGATATTTTATCAATGATATGTATGTAAAGTTACACTTATTGTTCACATAATCATTTTATTTTATCTCTACTTTTTTTTTTTTTTCAAAAGACGTATAAACTTATGCATATGGGCTTTAATCATACAGGTTTGAAAAAAAAAAAAAAAAAAAAAAGATTACGTATGATTCTAGGCTCTTGTTACTTTGAGTAAAAGCATAAAGCAAATAACATTCAATATTAAGTCAATATTAAGTCAGTATTAAGCATTATTAAGCATAATCTAGATCTACTTGATAATTATGATAATTATTGATACGTAGAGTTGTGCCATAACTACGCATAATAGCATATGATTTAATATTTAGGTTAAGAAAGGCGTATAAAAGACAAATCGGTGCGTAAAATCTGAACTTAAAATTATGGATTAGTACGTACGTACGTTATTTGAAATTTTGTCTGCATGTACGTACGTACGTAACACATTTATAATGCAAAGATTTAAATTGATATCACATCCTCAATTTTTTTTTTTTTTTTGCGATTGGAATCCTGATACGCTAAATACTTAAAATAATTGATGTTGCATTATCTCATTATCCTGTACAGTATATTTGACTATACTTTCAAAGAATCCTTCTTCCTTTCTACAATTGAAATACCAATCATACCCGCATATTATTAACATCCGATATTTTCCGGGAATTTTCTTCAAAGTTCTAGCATATGTGTAAAATGGCTTTTTTATTCTATGAGGAACCCGGAACTTTAAAAAAAAAAAAAAAAAAAAAAAAGGTTCTTTGAACGTATTGGCTCAATAACTGTATTTTCAGTAAAAATTTATCTTGAAATAACATAATAGAATTAGGAATATAATTAGAAATGTAATTAGGGATGGGCAAAATTGTGTAAGTTATAAATTACATGCGTAAGTTTGCAATTTACCATGTATTTTAAAACGTAATTCATGCAATTTACCCAACCCTAAGTAAAATCAATTTCTTTAATGGTTTCTCTCAAGAGCGTTATGTTTTGAATGGAATCCGCACATTTAAATTGAATGATACGCAAACATTGAAATATCACTCTTTTTTTGTGAATTGCTGTTTCCAAGTTTGGAAAATCTACAAACTTGTAATGCTTTCGCATCGAGTGTATAAACCTTGTTGCTTTCGCATTGAGTGGAGACTTAGTTAAACTGGCTTATGACGTTACACTTCGAACTTGCCAGTAATTCGCATAAGGCCAACCGATTACGACCTAAATTTTCAAACTTTCAGCATCGCTTCGCTAGGTATTAATAATAAGGAAGTGTAATTTTTTCTTTCCTTTAAAGAAATGAAAATGTGAATTGTATTTTGGCATCTGCACATTTATCTCAATCCGAACTCGAATCTTTGGTTACTGGTTTGCTAGCCCGTTCGGAACACTAGTTCACAATAGGTTTAGTGTAACTCTTTTTTGTGGCTAACAAAATTTTTAAACTGTGTCAATCTTTATAAGTATGTCAACATCCCTATAGATTACCAAGTATAAAGTTAACAACTGAGACTAATATTAACCGACCCATTTTTCAATTTTCATACATATTTGGAACTGTATTTAATTAGGAGTAGGGTTAGTCTGAAGTTAATGTTAGGGCAAGCAATATATGTAAAATTACTCTCCCAATATAGTATTTGTCATTAGTGCCCTAAGAATTTTTTTTTTTTTGCTTAATAAAAATTTGCTTTAATTGATATAAATCCCCAAATAAGGAGATGCATGAATTGTGCACGGTTTGTTCCCCATTCTTTCATAAGACCATTGAACTACTCAGTATTTAAACCACTTTTTAGTATGTTACAACGAAATAACTCGATTAGCGATATATAAATAAAAACAAAATACAGGATAAATATTTATATATTCTACGTAAAATTTCCAGTACCTAATTACTAATTATTTATCGATTTCTATTTTCTGACAGACAAAAATCCCGACAAAAATTAACTGAAACTATAGCTAACGCTGACATAATGCGGTCCAACTTGTCGGGATTTTGACATTGTCGAGAAAGTGATTGTCGGGAAAATGATAGGATCCTGGTGTAAATACGTTGACATCATTGATACCACAACGATTAGTATGAATCGAAATCAAAAATGCGCAAAGATTTACTAGGCTGTTTATTTAACAAGGCATTATATTAGCAAATAGATTCATCAAAAATGAGACCTATTACATTATTTCGCTAATTTGGCCTTTTGTTTTCCCGATTCTAACTTTTTCTGTCTTTAATAACTAAAAAATCTGTTCTAAGACTTAGGCAACCCCTTCTTCAAATTTGCTACCCCAATTGATTGTAGTTACATATTCTAAACGTATTCTATACTTTGGTTTATCTCCATTTATCGAACACTTAGAAATATCATAATCTGCTATTAATAACTATTTTACATCTAGTCAACCCCTCTGTAGTCACCCCTCTATAGTTACAAACTAATATAATTATAAATTCATTTTTATAACTACTGTATACGTATAAAAAATATCTCTATATTAGTCATATCCCTTTATAATCACGGTTTTTTGTATCCCAAAGGTGTGACTATAGAAAGGTTTGACTGTATACACTTTATTAATAATCAAATTTTCATTTTTATGTTTTTATTTTTGAGAATTCTATAAATAACAATGTTATATTTTAATAAATTTGATATAATTAATATAATTAAATTTATATTTTTACTTTATCTCAAGTAATAAATAAAGCTGTGTAATTATTTGCACTATATTTTATATAAAATTCTTTTTTTTACTTCTAAAATATTAATAATTACATTTTTTAATCTTAAACAAAATTTATTGGTTTACAACTTAAAATACTTCTTTAGATATATTTTAATCTTTTCACTATATATAAAATTTGTTATTACAAAAATAGTAATCCAAATTTACTATTATAGTATAAGCTTTTGATTTATTACAAATAATTAATTAAAAAAGAATTTATACATTGTATAGGCGATATTGTTGTGTTAATGAAGTTCATAAGATTAGGTGTAATATAAAATCAAAACAACATTTTTTTTTATATGGTTAGAGTTAGAGATAGATAAGGTTAAAGTCAAGGCAAAGACCAGATTCTATAGTAAAATTTTGAGATCAAATATAGTATAGCTTGCCCCTTAATAAAATCTTTAAAAATCTTTAAATTTATAATATAATCTTTTAAATTAGCCTTTTAATACTAATTAAAATATTAATTACAGTCAGACCTTTCTAAATGCATGTTGTTGGGACCAGCTTTAGAGCATGCATTTAGAGAGGGTTGCAATTAAAGAACACTAATAAAATCACTATATAACTATTATCACGTGATAAATGTGTTTTTAATTGTCTAAAATAATGGATTTGATTAGTAGATAATCATATAGATGCATTTATGAAGGAAGTTTTTATAAGTAGGTCAAACAATTAGCATGTACTTATAGAATAAAGAATATGCATTTATCTATAAGTCCTGCTATGGGCCCAGGCTTATATCATACATTTAGAGGGGTGCTGTATTTAGAAAGAGTGCATTTAAAAAGGTTTAACTGTATAATATAGATACAATAAAATTATTATATAATATTAGTAAATTTAATAATTGTAGGAACTGATGCTGAAAATTTTTTATATTTTATTATTAAATTGTAAAATTTTTTAGAGATTTGTTTGTGATTTTTTTTCTATAGTTAGGTTAGAGTTAGAGAGTAGTATATATTAATAAAAAAATATATATGAATTTTAGTAGGTTTTATAGATTTAAAAAGAAACCTCAATTTTTAGTATTAGCTGATTTCAGCATCAGCTTTCACAATAATTTTTGAAAGTAGTAACTTATACTATATTTGATTCAAATTTTGCATAACATTTTTTTATTAGAACCTAAAAGGTAATTTCATATGTGATATTTTGATTTATAGGCAATTTTTAGTAAAATATTTGTTTGTTTTGAATTTTTCAACTGTGTAATATTATATTTGATCTTAATATTTAATTAGTTGATCATATAAGAGCAATGTATAAAATGTATTGCATAAAAACAATAAATAAATATACTTATTAATTAATATATTTTTAAACTTATAATAAAAATATTATAATATATTTGCTTAGTTTAACTAAATTTTAAATATTTTTATAATTAGATATGTTATTGCTATTTAAGTTAAATAAAAATATTATTTAACTTAATATTTAAAAGTCATTAAAAAATGTGTTAAACAAAAAATATAAATAAAAACCTAAACTAAAACAAAAAAACTATAAAATAATTAAATAATAAATTAAAAATAATAGAATTTACTCAAATATAAATTAAAAATATTAAAATTAAATCAATAAAATACTATAAAAATACTATTATATAGGCTGATTTATAAAATTGCTAAACTTTTGATCTACTAATCTATTTTTAATGCTATTACTACCAAAATGTTCATCTTAAAAAGACAATTCTAATAAGCTTAAAATCATTAAAATCTAATCACAAAATCCTAAAATAGTCAGAATTTTGCATTATTTTATTAGTAAATTTTAATTACTATATAAATATCTTTTATACCAAAAAAAACTCTTTTTGCTAATCTTCAATTCTAAAAATTGACAAAATAAGAATACAAATTTTATTCAATCAACAACATAGTTAAAAACTCTTATCAGATTAAAAAAAAAGTTTTAGTAAGCAAAAAAGCTATAGTTTATTTAGAATAACAACTAATAAAAAAACAAACCAATAGCAAGACAATAATTTTGTAGAAAATTTTTTCAAAAATTTTTAAAATATAAGTAATTGTTTCTAACTTTAAAAAATCTAATAAGGATCTAGAGAGCTAACAATATAATAAACAAACAAACAAATATATATTATTTTAAAAATATATTAAAGTATAACAGATATATAAAATAAACAAAATATATACAGTATAAATAATAAAAAGGTTTAAAAATTGATAGAATTGGTTAAAAAATTATCAAGAGTAAATAGACTCCTAGAACTAGTATTCATAATATCAAAAAAGATACTTAAATATCTAAATAGCAATAAATTAATAGAAATTCTTTGTATATTCACCTTATTAAAACTAGATAAAATAGACAAACTTGTAAAAGATTTTATAATACAAAATTTAAACTAAATTACAGTATATGAAATGATAGTATATGATCAAATTTGTGATATAAAAAAAAAACAAAAAATTATTAGCAAAAGATACAATTAAGTAATAAGAAGTATAAGCTAAAATAGAAAAAAATAATTTGGTATCAATAAAATATATTACAAATATTAATAAAAAAGAAGAAAACAAAATGATAAAAATAAAAAAAAAACTTGATAGAAAAACTATAAGTATTAGAACTAAAAAAAGATTACCAGAAAAAAAAATAAAAACAAATAGAGATATAGACCAAGTAGTCAAAGAAATGCAAGATTTAAGCATTAAACAAAAGTATTAACAATTATTTAATAACTATACAGAGGAAGAATTATAAGATATGATACAAGAAGTTTCTATACAATCTTAAATAAATACATATAACAATGAATCTACAAGCAAATTAGAGAAAGAAAATAAGAGAAAAAGCATAATAACAAGAGAAAAAATTTAAAAAAGACAAAGTATTATAATCAATAGCATTTTAAGAGATGCAATTATATAATAATAGAAAAAGTATAAGAATAATGAACTTTATATAAATAATATCCAAAAAGAGGAGAATGAATAACCAATATTTATAGCTACTTTTAGATCAAAGTATTAGATTATCAAAAAATAAAATATATGAGAAAAAACAATTATTTCCAGCAAATATGCAGTATACAGTTTTTTGAAAACTTAGTAGAAAAAAGTGTTAATTATATTCAAAGAATTTTTAGTGAAAATAAACATATCAGAAAAGTAGAAGAGAAATTTAAAAATGAAAACCTCTAAATAGAGGTAGTCTTTGACTATAATTATAAAAAAAACTTAGCAATTGACAGAATTAAGAAAAAAGAAGATAACTAGCTAATTCTAATCAAAGTAAAAAAGAAATACAAAGTCTAAGCAAGAAAATCAAGTTAAGAAGCTGAAAGAGAAGCAGAACACACTTAACAAAAACAGAAACTTTAACAAGAAAAGTAAACAGAGAAAAAAATAACTTAAGCTCAAAAAACAATCAATAGCAAAAGATATAATTATAAAAGACATATAAATATAAATTGTATTAG